TGGAGGCTCCAGGCCGGGAGATGCCAGAGCTCTCTCTGCCAAGCTCAGCTTTGTGAACCCACTGCTCTGAGCATGGGCCGCTGAAATGGCCCCACGGATGAGCCGGGGACGAGGGCAGGGCAGGGAACACTCGGTTGTGGCATCAGATGCAGCCCAGGCTGACGCTCCACCAGGGAGGTTCCACCTCTAACTTCTTGGGAGCTCCTGGGGGTCCCTGTCCATGCCAGAACAGTCCATTGCCCAGGGCAGTCTTGAGATCTCCAAGGAGGAAAGTGTTTGGCCCAGACCAGGCCTCTCTGCCCACAGTGGCCACTGTCATCCCCTACCACATCCCTGAAGAGCTAAGGTGCTCCTTGGAGGGCCACCATGCCCCGTTCCTTGTGGGCAGGGAGCAGGCCCAGGTGTCTCCAGTTTTCTCCATCCATCCCTGCCCCAAAAGGCCCATCCAGGCAGGTGGATCGCAGGCCCTTGGTGCTGAGGGAGGAGAGGTTTGGCTTGAGAATGACCCATGGAACAAGAGAGCCCTGGTGGGGCAGAACTTTCCATTTACCTCAGCCCTGCGCCTTGCCCTGGGAAACTGCAATTTGGACGCTCGCCCACAGGCAAAAGTTACCAAAGCCCTAAAAATAAGACGTCTTCTCCTCAAGGACCCTGAGGGTGTCCCTGCCCTGGAACAACTCGGTGAGACCCTTCCAGCCCCGTCTCCTCGCAGTTCAGGCTGCTTGGCGGCGCTCAGCATCGCGGCTGGGAGCAAACCCTTCCCACGGCGAGGAGCCGGGATGCAGCAGGCGCCGCGGGCAGGTCTGCATCCCACCTCTGGGCATCCTGGTGGAATCCAGCCTTTCTTCCAAGGGGCTCAGCCTGACCACTGCATTTGCTGGCTTAGGCTATGGGGGAAAGCCCCAAACTTTGCAATTTGGCAGCTCACCCCAAGGCTTATGATGGGCATCGTGGGCACAGCCCGTATGGACCATGGTGAGGGGCACAAAGGAAAGCATCCGGAGAGGAGCTTAAGGGCCTCTCCAGCAGCTCCTTGCTTGGTGATGTGATGTTTGCAGCAGGAGCCAGGTACAGACAGGGATGTAAACGCTGGGGCGCTGATGGCCCATAAAATCCCAAGCGCTGGCTGGGCCGCCCACCAGCGAGAGCCCAATTAGGGAATAAGCACCAGGAGGCCAAGTGGAAGCTGGCGCCGGGGCTGCATGGAGCGGGGACATTGCATCGTGCTGAGAACGAGCTGGTGAGGACCGAATCCCCCGCCGTGCAGCTGCCGTGGCTTCGCCCCATGGGGGCTCCTCTAGCCACGTTAGCTCAGAAGCTCTTCACACCCCCCGTGCCAATGCCACGTCAGGCTGGCACTGTTTGAGGACACAAAATCCCTCCCAGGGGAAGCTCACCTGCAGGGCTGGGACCCGGGGGATGCGGCTGTGCTTCAGGGAGGCGCGTGCAGATGCTGGTCCCAGCAGTGGTGGTCCAGCAGATGCTCTGGGCCTGCTGGTGCCGTCCCGTGCTTCAGCAGCTGGTTCTGTGCAGCTCCTGATCCTCTTCAGGAGGAAGAAAGAGCCCGAGACCCCGCAGCTCTCTGCGCCCACATGGGATCAAACCAGAAATCATGAGTCCCGATCCATGAGAGACAGAGCACAGAGCAGCACTTGGAGCTGGGTCCTCTTCGGGGCCGTCAGGCTGGGATAGGGTGGGAAAGGCCAAGGATTCTGCTGGGATGCAGGTTTGCCCCTGCTGTGCTCCTTCCCCCAACCCAGCCTCTTCCTCCATCGCTGCCACTGGGCAATAGAGACCCTGGGCAGCAGCAGCAATTGTCCCCTCCCTTGGGTGGCCAGAAATGGTGGCCTCTTTCCGTGGGTGCCGAGGGCAGCACGAGCCCTGGGCTCCCTCCGGGCAAGCTGGGGGTTCCTCTGCCCGCATGGCTGTGGCAGGCACAGCTGGCACCACACCAACGAGGGCTCGAGACAGCGCTGGGATGGACCGGAGGAGCCGGCCGGATCGGGAGCAATCCCGGCAGGACAGGGAGGCGGAAGGAAGTGCGGGGTGTTTCGGGCAAGGCAAGTCCAAGCAGGCTTTTTCCATCAGGTGCTCTGTCTCCAAGAGCCGAAAGGAAAAGAAAACAAAAGGCAGGAGAGAAGCCGGGCGGGAGAAACCTGCCGGGCGTCTGGAACGTGTCACAGGTGACGTGCTGTAAACGGCGGCGCTGATGGATGCGCCAGCGGGGCCACGGCAGGATGTGCCGGACAGACCTGAGCGTGACGGATGTCCCCTGCCCGAAGAGCACAAGCGCCGCAGAGACGGCTGCGCTGGGAAAACAACATTATCCTTACAGAGCCCAGATGCAACCAGGATGCGGGGTGCATCTGCTGACATGGCCTCAGGTGCACCCAGGGGTGGGGAGCCAGGCGTCCTGCTGCCCCAGGACACCCATCCCATCCATCTGGGCACGGGAATTGGGGACAGGCAGGACAAGGGCACCGGCAGCGCCCAGCCCTCCCGTGGGAAAAGCGTTTCCTCACGCGAACCCTTCCCGGTGAGCGTGGGGACCCCAGGGACACCGCGGCTGTCACGGGATGCAACAGGCCCTGTCCCATTGACCAGGAATGCCCAGGGGAAAGGCAGGGGGGAGACCGGGCGCCAACCCCTGTGCGGTGCCAGCAGCGAATTCCCGGCCTCCTTCTCCAGACGGGACATGTCTCCGTGTTTATGCAACTGAAGGAGCCGGCAGAATTGAGCACTTTTTGTTTTTCCCTTTTTTGAGAACGGGGAGTTATAATTCCCACCAAACAATGTTCTTTTCCAGCAAGCTTAAAATAAGCCTTTTTGGCCGGGGCTTCTGCGGAGCCGCTCGCGCCTCGAGCGGGCGTTTGTGCAAATATGGTTGTGAGCAGAGAGGCCGGGGCTGGGCGGCCGCGCCGGGCGCTACCTGCCCAGCACAGACAGGTGGAGATGCCCCACGAGCAGGAGACACCCTTTGGGCAGCGCCAGGCGATGCCGACGCCGTGACGAGCCCTTGTGCAGCAGCAAGGATGGCTGGCGCCATGGGAGAGGGGCTGGCGCTGGCACCGGGCACCCCATGGGGGCTGAGCCCCCAGCACGAGCGGAGCCACTGCCACCAGTGCCCGCACGTCCCCTGTCCCACGCGCAGCCCCCAGCCCCGTCCCGCACGCGGGGCCGGTGGGGAGAGCGGCCTGCGCCCGCCCCGCCGCCTCCCCCGGCTTATCGCGTTTGGCCCTGTCTGCATAAGCCCTGGTTTCCTTTTCACCAAAAAAGATCAAAACTGGGTAATTGGCTCCCGGCGCGGATGCCTCTGCGGCGCTCTCATGTGTAAACAGCATTTCCGAGCGCTGACACAAGGCAGGCGGCCGGGCGCGGAGGCGCGCGCCGCCCCGGCACCCCGGCACGGCCGCGGGGCGCGAGGCGCCTGGCCCAGCTGCCTCGCGCTGTCCCCTCCTCTCGGGACACAAAATGAGGGTGAAATGGCTGGGATGCAGCCGGGAGCCCCCTGGAAGTGCCTGGGGATGGGCCTGGGGGTGCTGCGTGAAGGGGGCCCGCTGGTTCAGCAAGCCCTGGTGGCCACCGCGTCCATGGCCCTTCTGCCGGCGCCATGGCCCTTCTGCCGGCGCCCAGGGTGACGAGGGGAAGCGGGTCCAGGGCCTAAGGGGATGGCAAAGACACCAGAACACCACTGTGGTGGCCAGCATCCCCTTGGGCATCAAGGGGGCCGGGGCTCACCCCCTTGCTGAGCTCCTGGGGGGCAGCGGGTAGAAGGAAGGGGGATGCGATAAGGTTGACCCTGCCTGGGGGGGTTCATGTAAGTGCAGGTCCTGGACTGAGAAAGGGACATGGAAACCTCCCTTCACTCTGCGAGTCAGGATGGTCTTCCAAGGCCTGGAGGTTGGAGACATGCTCCGCTGCAGGGATACTGAGGCAGGAAAGGCATTGGGGGGGGTCTTTCCTGGTCTCTGTCGGGTGGAAAAGGGGCAGGATGTGGGAGCCAGCCAGGCCTGGGGGAGCCCCGGGAGAGCAGCTGGCAGCTCCCTGCAGCTCCCTGCAGCTCCAGGACGCGCCGTGGGGCAGCAGCAGCACTGCAGGGCGGCCGGGGGGAGCGCGGATGGAGGTGGGTGCGGGGTGGCGCGCGGGGACAGCGGGACGCGCCGGGCGGCGGACAGCTCCACCGTGTGGTCCCTGGTCCGCAGCGGCCCCGGCTGCAGGGACGGGGGGGCGCCGGCCGCGGCGGGGGGCCCTGCGAGCCCCCTCCCACGGAGGGCACCCTGCGCGCGGCACCGTCCCCACGGCCGGACACAGGCGCCATCCCCACGGTTACTCGCTGGCACTGCAGCCCCGGGCGCTCCCGAGAGCGGTGTGAGCACCCAGCACCCGCGCCAGCAACATCCACCTCCCCGCAGCCGGCTCCCGGGAGCGGAGCCGGCGCCACGGGCCGCGCGAGGGGCTGCGTGGGGACAGGGGAGGTGAGGGGTGGGACAAGGACACCACAGGAGCTGGCGGCAATCCCCGCCTTTGCTTCGCTGTGGGGAAGAAGGGTTGGAGCCGTCGGTGCTCCCGAGGACAGTGGAGTTGGTGCCGGGCCCATGGGGACCACATGGGACCTGCAGGAGAAGGGTCGGTTACACTCACACCACCATGGGTGACACAGGACACAGCACCCAGTGTGCCCACAGACCTCCCGCTCCTCCACACTGGGAGCTGGGAGCTGCCCTGGCATCAGCAGCAGCCCCAGAGCCCCCAAATCCCATTCGTTCACCCAGACCCTTCTCCCATCTGCCTGCTCAGTGACGGACCAGGCGCCCGGCCAGCACCTGAGGAGGAAGAGGAGGAGGAAGCCGAGTCCCAGCGCGCGCTGCTCAGCATCCCTGGCAGCTCGGAGGCTCCCTGGCACCTGGGGACGCCCCGCGTGCCGGACACACCTCCAGGCGGGCGCTTCCCGGCTCCGGCTTCCTGACACAGCAGCAGCGACGGCGCCCGCTGCTCCACGATGGAGCCACCTCCAAACCTGGTAGGTGACGGCTGCCCTTGCTCACTTGCCTCCTCCATTCTAATTATTTGCACGCCCATTCTAATTATTTGCACGCCTGTGCATCGGGTGTGCACCCGGGTTTGTTTGCTTTGGAGCCATACGTTTTGGGCTGCAGGACCGATTGCTCCTGAGTTTGGCACAGCCAGGATAAAATAGGCTTGCAGAGCAAAGCGGAGATGGGGAGATGGGAGAGTCCAGCACCGGAGGGAAAAATCCGCCTGGGCTTTTTAGATCCCTGCTCCCCGTCACCGCGGCAGGAGCGGCACAGGGGCTGCCTCGGGCCAGCTGCAGCGACACGAATAGCAGGGAGCAGAGCTACAGAAAGCAACTTTGTTCGCTGCTGGGCAGCCTGCCGGGTGCCAGCACACGGCAGCTCGGCCCTGCAAGGCTGGAGGGAGAAGGGAAGGAAAAAGCATCTTTCTTTCTCTCTCTCCGGCCTTGGAGCACACAGGGAGGGAGGGAGAGGAGGCTTCGGATAAAGGTCTCATTCTTGACGGTCTCATCTCCAAAGCGCCGTCCAAGCCAGCAGCTCCCCAGGTAGAGCCTGTGCTGAATGGGTACCTGTCCCGCGCAGCCACCTCCGGGCTGGGACCTGGAAGGGAACCAGCGGCGAAGCCCACGGGGAGCACGGGAGGGCACTTGGGGTTATTAAACGGGAAGCAGAGACCTCTGGCAGGGGCCACACGCAGCCTGGGGTTTGGGGCACAGATCCGCAGCAATGCTGTGCCCGCCAGCCCCCAGACCTCGCCCTGAGCTGCTTCTGTGGGTCCCTGCTCCTTCAGGAATCTGCATTTGCTGCCCGAAGCCGCCGTGTCCCACCATGACCCATTGGCCCATTTGAGGGGGGAGAGGCGCCCGTGCCACAAGGGAGCCCCTTGGCTCTCCAGGGCTGGGCAGTCACCGACCGCCCTCCTTCCTCCTCAGCTTCTCTTCTGCATCTTCACCTTCGCCATGGTCCTGGTCCCAGAAGCCAAGGACCAAAGCAGGGGAGCGCGGGGAAGGAGACGGGGGCCGGGACGGTCCCTCGCCCTGGCCTGGGCCCCCGATGACCCCTACACCACCATGGAGGACTACGAGCAGAGCATCCAGGACATGGTGCGCCAGCTGAAGAACAGCTCCGAGCCAGGCGACACCAAGTGCCAGGTCAACCTGCGGCTCTGGAGGTCCAACCGGAGGAGCTTGTCGCCCTGGGCCTACAGGTGAGCGTGGACAGCGCTGGCCACCAGCAGAGCACTGCAGTGGCCACAGCTCCAGCACCGTGGGGCCACAACGGCTTGGGCAGTGGGACGAGCGGGACGGAGCCGCCACAGGGTGAAGGTCCACAGAGGTCCGATGGACCTCTGTGGACCTTCACCCTGTGGCGGCTCCGTCCCGCTCGTCCCACTGCCTGAACTTCCCCTGCCAGGCTCACGGTACCTCCAGCCTCACGTTGCTTTTCCTCCCCTGCAGCATAAACCACGATGCCACGCGGATCCCAGCGGACATCCCCGAGGCCCGATGCCTCTGCACCGGCTGCATCAACCCCTTCACCATGCAGGAGGACCGCACCATGGCCAGCATTCCCATCTACAGCCGGCTGCCCGTGCGCCGGCTGCTCTGCCAGGGGTCGGGAGACACGGGACAGAAGCGGTCCACGAAGAAGAAGTGTCCGAAGAAGTATCAGACAGTCATGGAGACCATTGCCGTGGGCTGCACCTGCATCTTCTGAGGTTGCAGAGCCTGCAGCCCTCAGCCCTTGCAGCCTGCAGGCACCCATGGGATACCAGCCAGCTTGCTCTTGATTGCCCAGTCTGCCCAGTTCTCCGGGAGAGGGCGAGGAGAGCGGCTCAGCAAGGAGGCTGCAGCTGCCTCGGCCCGCGAGCTCCCCGAGCCCCCTGCTGCCTCCACCAGCCTCCTTGGGGACACCCAGCGCGGGGGCAGCCCCTCCAAGCGACCCAGCTATGCAGCGACGCCGAGCCCCAGGCCCCCCAGCCCCAGCGTGGACACGCAGCCGGGAGGAGCAGAGAGGGCAGGAGCCGGTCTCCTGCCTCTCCCAAGTGCCCGTTTGCTTTCACTGGCTCTACTGGTGCAACAGGACCCAAAGTGTCCAGGGCGCAGTTCTCCCCATTCCTCCACGGCCCTGCACGAGCTCCTCCTGCTGAACCAGGCAGCGCAAGGAAAAGGGGGAGCACACCATGGTGTGCACCTAAAAGCTACCTGTGGCACCCGAGGGTGGTGCACAAGCCCAGAGGTGCTGGAGACAGGGGCCCTCTCACTAGCTCCTCGGACCAGGCCGGGTTCCCGGCTTGGCAGCTGCTCTGGGAAGGGCAGGAGCAAAACTGCGTCCTAGCGCCTGGCAGATGGACGGGGCCCGGGGAGAGCAGGGGGAGCTGATGCCCTTGGGGCAGCTTTTGAGTTCCTCAATAAAACGCATCGCTGGCCCCCGTGTGAGCTGTGCCCGGCACCCCAGGGCGCCAGGAGGTGGGTGCTTCAGCCGTCCTCGTGGTGACCATCTGCTGCTCGGCCGAAACGGAGCGCAGCGCTGGGCTCCCTGGGTGCCAGAGGCCTCCGCTCCTCCCCGGGGCCGGCACCATCTGCTGCTGCCACCAGGCAACCCTGTCCTTAAAAGCCTCCCGCGCTCCCCCATGCAGGGATGATCACAGGACCAGGGAAAGAGGCACTGACTCCCTCCAGCCCAGGCCAGCGCGGGGAACACGTGTGAGACAAGAGCAGAGGCATCAGACTCGCACAGGGCGATACAGGGACTGTATTCCTGAAGGCAAAGCGCGTCCAAGTCACCTGGACACGGCCCGTCCCCCTCCCGCGGCCCCTTCCCCCAGCCCAGCCCCCGTGGCGTCCCCAAGGCAATAAATACTCCCCAAGGCTACTACACGCAGAAGCTCCTGGCCCACCTCCTTCCCCGAGCATCACAGTTCAGTCTTCACCTTGTGCATCAAGTCCTTCTGGTCGATTTTCTCCAGGTCCTGATACCAGCGGTTGTAAGCCAGGAGGGCCACGTTCTTGGCTGCCACGGCCACCATCTCCATGGAGCTGGCCACCCACTCCACGCTGCTGAGGTAGAAGAGGTTCTCGTGGAGCACGATGGGCGGCAGGGACTTGGCCACGTCGTAGTGGGGACGCGCCTGCCACTCGGTCACCTGCACCGAGTAGTAGGAGCGGAACAGGGTCTTCAGCTGCTGCTTGTCCAGCGGTTGTGGGGACAGGACCCGCCACACCGCAGCCTCCTGCGGCTGCTTGCGGCGGAAGGCCGAGGAGATGTTGACGGGACAGATGTTGTCCATGGCATTGAAGAAGAGGTTGGGGGTGTCGGTGGTGAGGATGCTGGCGAAGGGGAAGAGCTTGGGGTCGGGGAAGCCGAAGTAGGACGAGTTGAGGTAGCCGTGCACCACGGAGGTGACGGAGGGCTGGAAGGCGCCGGGGAGGTCAGCGATGGGCGGCTCGAAGTTCTGGAAGGTGAAGTTGCTCTTGCTGGGGTGCAGGGGGGCCGTCAGTACCACCATGTCATAGAAACCCGAGCCCTGGCCCTCGCCGTCCTCGTAGTGCACCTGGTACAGGGCTCTCCCTTCTGAAAAGGGAAGGTGGGTCAGTGAGGAGCAGCCCCAAGCCCCCAGCTATACGGCCTTGGCCTCCCAACCTCCAGCCTTTGCTAGCACAGCCTCCATCTCCTGGTTTCCCAGTATATTCCAGTGTTGAACCACAGCACGTGAGGGCCATGGCTAAGTTGCTGATGCTTTAGGGCAACGGAGAGAGTGCGACACCCTGTCTGAGAGCTCTGCTGAGACCAGGACAGCAGTTTCCTTTGAAAGCATCCTCTTCATCCCAGCATTCCCACAGGAATTCCCACCACCGCCTGCCCCCCCAGGCCCAGGTGACACCCTGCACGGGGCTGCCCAGGTCACAACCCTGCAGGCCAAGCCTCACCGGAGCTGTGCAGAGAGACGCCCGTCACCCTGGCAGGGATCACGTTGGCTTTGGTCAACTTCAGCAGCCCCGAGCACACCAGCTTGTTGCCTCCTTCCACTGCCCACGTGCTGCCCTGGGCCCCCGCCAGCGACATGGCTCCTGCGGAGAGGAAGAAGACGGTGCTGAAGGCTCCTGGGCAAAACATCCGAGGCCCCTTGGGAAGCAAAGTTGCGGGGGGGGAAGGTGGAAGGCGTCACCTGCGAAGGCGGGCACCAGCACCGACTGGCCGCAGCTGGAGCGCAGGACGGCCGCGATGACGTCGTCCACGAAGCGCTGCGTGACGCCCACCTCCAGCAGGGACTCGGCCACCGAGCGCCGCGTCATGTTGACGAAGGCCTCACCGCCCAGCGAGCGCAGGAGCTCCTCGAGGCTGGAGAAGGCATAGCCGTACGCCTGGTACTTGTAGATCCTGGAGGCGACAAAAGCACAGGACACCTCTGTCCCCTCCGTGCAACGTGCCAGTGCGAGCGGGGTCCCCTGCCTTGTGAACTTCTCCTACCTCATGAACTTCTCCATCACCTCCTCCACCCACATCTGCAGGCGCAGGAAGCTGATGCCGTAGTGCCACCAGAGGCGGAAGAGGTTCAGCAGGTACCAGTCCGTCTCCTCGAGGACAAAGTGCTCCCCGCTGAAGATGGCACTCTTGCCGGCCACCTCGCGCCGGTGCTTGAGGCCTGTGGGGAGGAGGACCAGGAGGCCGCCTTGGGCGGCTGAGCTCTGCGCGGCGCTGGAGGGATGGGAAAAGCTGGGAACCAGCTAGTGTCAAATATCGCTGGGAAAAGCTGGTGCCAAATAGCTCTGTGCTGGGGACGGGGCGGGTTGGGGAGAGGAAAGAGCCTGCTCTTACATGGGAGCTCTTTGCTCCTCAACAAGCTGAGGAGCAGGCGAGGTACAAACACCTCCAACACCAGGAATTTGCTCAGCGTGAAACCCTGGAGCTCTCCAGGCGCCCTGGATGGTGCCCATTGACCGAGGCATCACATGGAGTCACTCTGCTGTAGGTCAGGAAGCCCCCCCAACACACACTCATCCCCCTGGGAATGGAGCCCTGGGGACTCCCCCCACATTCGCACCAGGGGCTTCCAGGCCCCCTCACTCCCGATGCTCTGCTACGCACGAGGCAGACAAAGCAGTCGGGGAGCACAGGCTGGCCAAGCAGGGGCAACCTGGAAGCAGCCCTCGCAGCCTCCCTGGTCCAAAAGGCTTTGGGGTCAGAGGGGCCAAGGCCGGGCGAGCGGGCAGGAGCCCGGGGCGGCCCGTGGGCGCCGTGCACTCACCCAGGACCTTGACGAAGTCCTGCATGTGCAGATTGAGCGAGTGGATGGAGGCGCCGCCGCTCTCATACTGCTGCTTGTTGACGGTGACGGTGGCGAGGCGGCCCCCGACGTGGCCCTTCTCGAACACGTCGAGCTGCACCTGCGGCCCGAAGTGCTGCTGCAGGAAGTAGGCGACGGCCGAGCCGCCCACGCCGGCGCCCACCACGGCTGCGGGCAGAGCGGGCAGAGCGGCCCGTGAGCCCCGACGGGCGCACAGGCGCCGGCGCCCCCCTCTCCGCCCGCCCCAGCCCCCGCGGGGAGGAAGAGGAGGATGGGGAGGAAGAGGAGGATGGGGAGGAGGAGGCCAGGGCGGCCACGCGCATCCCCGCCCGCTGCAGAGCCGCCCCCCCGCGCTCGTACCGATGCTGCGCGGCGGGGCGCGGGCGGCGGCGGCGGCCCCGGCCAGGAGGGCGGCGAGGGCCGGTAGCAGCAGCGGCGGCGGCAGCGGGGCCATGGCGCGGAGCGGAGCGGCGAGCGCGGCCGGCAGCGCCGCCCCGGCCCGGGCAGCGCCGCCCCTTAGCGCAGGCTCGGCCCCCGGCGGGGACGGCGCTGCGGGAGCCGCGGGGACCCTCCCGCGCGCGGGGAGATGCGGGAGGGCAAGGAGGAGGAGGAGGAGGAGGAGGAAGGCGCGCGGGGCAGCGCGGGCCGGCGGGGCCGCCCCGTTCCCTCGAGCAGGGGGGCCCTGCACGAACGCGCCCGCGCTCCCGGGAACGCTGCAGGCCGCCCCGCGCGGACGGCGGCCGCACCACAAAAGCGGGGCTCGCCCGAGGGTGTCCCCGTGAACGGCCGCGGGGCTCGGGGCCCCCAGCAGCCGGGCTGTGCTACGTGCGCAGCTGCACAGCGCAGCCTGCGTCCCAGCACAGGAGCTGCCCATCGGTGCAGGCGTCGCAACCACTGCCTCTCGGCTCATCCCATGGGATCTGCAGCCCCAGAGCTCAGGCCTGAGCACAAAGCACCCCAGGGCACCTATCCATACATGGGACACCCTCATCTTACACTCCATGCCACCAACAAGCTGGGCCGGTTGGACACTGCGGGTCTCTCCCTTTAGCCACCTGGCTTCCTACCAAGGACTGAACCTGAGCTTGGGTTCAACTGTTACAGAAGCCTTGGCTCTAACACAGAGCACAGGCCTCGTCCCGCTCCCTTCCCCGAGGCGGGAGCTGCTTCCCAACCCCATCCCTGCAAGGGCTCATGTATGAGCACAAAGGTAACCCAGAAACAGGCACAGACACAGGGGCAAGAGTCAAAAGTGACTGCTCGCCTCATCCTTAACACTGGGCAGCATCAGCCACAAGTTTGGGAGACCTTTATATCCCAAAGCTGCTTAGAAAAGAGAGCACAAGCGTCTCGGCAGCCGCCTCCGCCTTTGACAGGCTGTTATTTAACTGCCCTGTTTCCACCGCGGCCGTGGGCGAGGAGGAACCAGCCTGTTCCCCCAGGAGCAAAGCACGGGGGTCTGGACGAGCAGGGCTGGGGCTGCCGTCCCTCGCAGCCGTCCACGGAGCTCCCCTTGCAGACACGTTCCCGCCGCGGCGCCCCGAGGGCACGCGGCAGCCCTTGCGCCCGAGCCCTCGCGCTTCCCTCTAGGCGCAGGCTGCTCCGCTTTGGAGGCCTCCACTTCTTGCTATTGCTAGAGAGCAAACCTGAGGAACCAGATCTTCCCGGCGCCGTCGCAGCATGTCCTGGTGTGGGCAGGTTTGGGCACACGTACATCAGAGCAACCGCTGCTGCCTTCGCGGAGAAGGCAAAAAATCCCATATATGGGAAGCAGCCTCCGGGATCACAAGGGGAGCGCTCTGGCTCTGCTTGGGAGGTTGATAGATCTTCCAAGGAACAGATATCTCTAACAGAGAAATCTTTCCCAAAAAAGGCTATTTATAAACAAACTGCAAAGGTCTGCAGTAAAGAGAAGGCACTGGGACACTGAGGAAAAGAACAGCATCAGGCATGAGGCCGGGCTATTGCCCTGCTGTGCAAAGGACTCGAGGAACGAGCAAAGGGAGAAACAAGCAGCTCTGTGGCAAACACAGACCTACAGAGCACCAACAAACTCATGAAATCCCAACCCACCCTTGGACACCACAAGCGTTAATGCGCACCGTGCATTGTGCTGGCCGAAACAAGCGGCCAGAGCACGGCTGCTAAAACTTACCTGCCACAAAAAGGGGAAGGCACCAAAACTGTGAGAGTGCTAACTGGTAAAAATAAGCTAAAATATCAAATATTTCAGGTCTCAGGAGAGCTCTGCACAATGAAACATCCAGGCAAGTGAGTGGACTTGTTAGGAACTGAAACGAATGCAGGCAAGGAAGCACCAGGGAAGCCCCGTCCCGCTGGGAAACCTATGGAAGGAAAGATGATCCACAAGGCTTCTGCACCTTTCCCGTGTCAGAATGAGCAGCAGTCTGGAGCACAGGAAAAAAGAGAAAATAAAGAAATAACTGCATTTTTTTATTATTAGCAAATGGACAGTATCTGGACATCTAAAAGAAATCAGCCCATTCCAACATTAACTCAAATGTTGTTGTCAGAAACGTGCACCACTCTCACGCTTCAGTCCTCCTTTTTCATCCAGCCAGAACCTTTGGGTAAATAAGAGCATAGAAACACAAAAACATACAATATATATACAAGTTCCCCACCACTTAGGTGGACTTCAATTTTTGGAGATTAGCAACGCTTTGTTCATTTGACTTTGTGAGAAATATCAAAACATTTTGCATCTTAAAATAAAAAATACTACAATATTCACAACAAAACTTAAATATATTTTTTAAAAAATTAAAGTACTGCTAATAGCCATTGATTTATCACAGCTGTTTCAACAGAAGCTCTGCTGCTGAAGCACTGAATTTAAGGTCCACAAAGTGACATTCACATTCTGTACTGCTCGTGGTCAGAGTCGAGGCACTGCCACGCATGGGACGGTGCCACGAAGACCCATCCAGGAGCTTAACTCAAATTCTGTGGCACTGATAAGACGTGGCAGGGTCACAACCAAGGCAAATGCCTGGGTACAGCCTGACTTCCAAGAGCAGCCACGTATGTATCTCTATATCTCTATACATCACTGCATGTGTTTGATATCAAGTTGCCTGTGTTCCCAGCTCAAGCTCTTCGGCTCGTGGCTGGCCTAACAGAGTGGAAACAACTCACGCGTTCGCTGATGTTCCTCTCTCCTGCTGTTCTGTCCCTTCTAGCACATTCCTGTGCTTTAATAGTCATTGGATAAAGTGGCTGGAGACAGAAAGAGCTCCTGGGCCAGATTCCTCTCTGGTGGAATTCTGGAGAGCGCCACAAGGAACCTGTCCCATTGTGTAGGCTCTACACAAACATGGAAGACAACGAGGGAACTGGTATCTAGAAAGGAGAAATTAAATCCATCCTTAGACAATCCTATCTATTAAAAAAAATCATTAAGTGTGCTTGAGGATCAAATCTGGAAGCCTAAATTCTCTGATGGAATCCAGGTTTAGCGTGCTCATTTTCACAATTCAAAGGAAGCAGAAAGCTAGGACAAACAGCAGCAACACCACTTATCTCTTTGGTATTTTCTGTATAAGTGTCTTTAGGTAATGGGTAATCTTACAGCAGCCATCAGAAAAGCCTGTTAAGCCTGCTAGAAGTTTCAGAGAGTTACAAAGTTGGGGCATAAAGAGGGAAAATAAGTTGTCCAGAATTAAACAGGACTGGTGGGAGGGCAAAGAAGGAACCTGATCCCTTCCGTTTCTGTTCTAGCCACACAACGGGGCCTCAAGGAACGAGGATCCCGGACACAGACCCTACGTCAATAACCTCTCATTACAGATGGAAGGAGTTTCTAAGTGCATTTTAGGGTATGTCCTTAAGACAAAAAGCGGGTCATTACTAGTTGGGGTGATGGTGAAGAGCCCCAAGGTGGACTGAGTACATGTACTTCACTTTACTAGTACAGTGACTGAAATGGGTCAGTCGGAGAGGCTCTGGATCTGATCTGATCCCGCTGGCTGCACGCTGCTTCAGCTCTAGCTTGGGTAAGTTGCAATCTTTTTCTAATTGAAAACCACTTGTTACAGGAAATGACTATTTCTGCTCAGTTCCTTAGATATAAAGGTTTACATTACAAGTTAGCTTCCATTACCAGCCCTCCGCTTACATCCTCAGAAAGGCTCAGCTGCGACATCAGGGATGGAAATGGCATAAAGGATGGAAATTGCTCTTTCCAGCCCAAGATGCAGGTTCCTCAGAAAAGGCTGCAGGGTCATGAAGCAGCAGGGCACAGTTTTACTGCCACTTTTCATATCGTACCTATTCTCTCCTGAGCGGACATCACCTGCCTACCCAGTCACCATGCAGGACCACTCAAAAAAGAAAAGAAAAGAACGGGAAGTCCAGTATTTCTCTAAGATTTCCAAAAATGTGATAAACAAGAGCACTGAACTGGAGACTTACTCAAAGTGATCTAACGCTGCCATGAAGCGCTGTTCCAGGGTTGAAGTTTCAGGTACCTGCCTGAAAACCCAACCACTCCGAGGCACAAACTACGCTTCAAAAAAGCATCACCAGAACGCGAGCCGCTCCACGTCCTCCACGTACAATTGCCACTAAAGCAGCTTGCGTTCAGCAAAAGAGAAGAGAAATGTCCGTCTTCTTTCTCTCAAAATTCTGGAATGACAATCAATAGGCTGCATACGTTCTACAACATCTCTCCATATGACAGACTGTTCATAGCTGATAGCTGAAGGCTGCTGCAAGTCCATCGTTATGCTACTGAAACCTGTAAAGGAACGGGTGAAGAATAAGCTTCTTTCCAAACCACTGATGGCGGCCACCATAAAGAAAGAGGTTTTAAAAGCAAATCACAAATAGTTATCGGGCTACAGATTCAGCTCTAGGAAGTGAAGAGGCAAGAATGAATGAATCAGGAAAAAGCAACCTGAAAACCCAACCATTACTTGGCCTTGATTTTGTGTAATGCAGACATAGCCTTGAATAATTCTTCTGTCGCTGTGCTGCTCATTACTCTCCAAAGGGTTAAATTCTGACTTCAGTCTGAGGTCTGAATCCTTTCTTTTTAGAGAAACAGACTCCCAGGCAAGAGAACCACTGCGAAATGCACATGCCAGCCTGCGACAACAGCACGTCTCTAACCAGGGAGATGGCTTCAGGTCAGCGTTCACTTTCACAGCCTTCTGTTTCTCTTTGCTTTCTTGTCACTGTTGCTAAAATTGGTTCAAGGACACTTGAGACTTGCAGTAGAAAGGATTTCTTTCCTTCCTTTGTTCAAAGGAAAAAAAAGTATTTACCACGACGAGACAAAAGTAGAATCTGAATGTGAACTGGAAGCTAGTGTTATTTGAGGACTGTAACTGGAGAGCTTGAGAAAATAAAGCTAGATTTCTTAATTAAGGGCATATCTCCATCCTGCCAGCAGCATTAAAGACTATACAGTTTATCATACCTGGAGGCTGCACAAATATCAACCAAGGAAGAGATACAGCTGTCCTCCAAAATCTACTATTTTTTGTTGGAGAGATTTGAGAATGGTTTTAGATGTCCCATCAAGGACCACTCCCTATTCTTCCCCTCAAAAAGAGGGAGGTAAGCTGAAATTCTACCCAGAGAACAAAGATGAACACATTAAACTTCGACATGACCATGACAACTGAATTCTCTTTAAAACCTCATCCATATTCATCTGCTGTACAAAACAGATGTCATTAATTCAGGACTGTTTTCCTGAAAAGCAAGAAGAAAAACGTGGCTCTACCGGCCATTTCAAGTGATCATCTCCATCCCCACCTGAGGGATCTGGGGACAAGGGAAGACACCACAACCAGCCTCATGATACTTAGCACTTGGAGCTTTTCCTCGCCCGAGTGCCTTGCAAAGAAAAAGCCTCACCACATCCCTGTGAGGTAGGTCGGTAAGTATTAGTATAGCCCCTTAATACAGACAGGGAAACTGAGGCAGAGAAGTTGCCTGCCTAAAGGCCACAGGAGGAGTCTGTCTCAGACAGAATTAGGAGACAAGATTCCCTAGCTCTCCGATAATTTCTCTCTCTCACATTCCCTCTGCTTCCCCATAAATTTTTAATGGAGACTTGAAAGCAGCAACAGAGTAGGGGACTACAGTGCCACTGTTTATGGTAGAAAAAGCCGGACTTCTACTACTCCACATACTCCAAAAAAAGAACATTAAATATACAAGTACCTTCGAATTAATGGCAAAATAACTGCACACATTGTAAAGAAGCCAACATACAACATAGAAATCTAGGTTAATAAATAAAGACATGCAGCTGCAGTTGTCACCGAGGGCCAAGGGCTCCTCGGCTCATTAGGGTCCCCCGGGCCGATGGGTGGGGGTCACTCCTGTGACTCCACTGCCACCCCGACGAGTGCGTGTCTGATAGTGCGCCCGTGGAGTTTGTAGCCATCCTGAGTCACCAGCGCTATCGTGCCCGGCTGCATGCCCTCGGCTGGCACGTGGCAGACGATCTCGTGGTCGTAGGGATCGTATTTGCCACCAACGGGGTTCATCTTCTGGAGGCCGTGCTTGGCAAACACGCTTTGCAGCTTGGCCTCGATCACAGAGAGGCCTTCGTAGATTTTCTTTAAGGTTGGGTTGGGATTACTGGGCTCTGCTTCTCCTGCGGCGCTCTCGGCAGTCTTCTCCAAGATATCTGCCACCTCCACGAGGTCCCTGCAGAAACTCTGGATCCCTACAGGCACAAAGCAGCAATGAATAAAGGTTAGCTTAACTACAAAACACACGGAGCTGCAGTACCCATGGCAAGCACAAAGCCACAGAAGTTTGAAAACATCCTGAAAGCTGTTAATGAGCTTCAGTAGGAGTGGGTGGTGCTTATGTCTCCTATAGCCAAAGCTTTACCTTTTATGTGTAACGTCCTAGAGACTCCATCCACCAAAGTATATGCAAGAGAGGCACATCTATAAAGAACAGAAATGATACAGACTACCCGAAAACTCACAAAACGGAGTAAAATTATTAGTATTTCACTTTAAAAAGCTGTTGCGACTATAACTTCGAACAACCTCTCATAAAGGGATAAATATTTTGTCAAACAACTCGCATTAACGTTCATGGACACAGAAAACAAAAAATATGGGGCGAGCATCAAAAACAACGTGAGACCATTTGAAAATAGATCCACAAATGTATTCACAAGTTAAAACTGCTGTGGAAAGACTGGACAAAGCAGTCCCTGGGCTGGTTATTCTCAGTCTTTTTCATTAGAAAACAAAGTCTAATATTTTGGATTCAGGCTGCTCACATTTCCAAATGCAGCATTTTACACAGTGCAGTCATTTCCAGAAAAACAACCCCTCTGAATTACACAGACAGCTTGCCTAACTTATGGGAAAAAAAAACACATAAGGAGGAAAGAGAAACAGTAACTTGCTGCTGTCTACACTTACATATACAATTCTAAACATACCTAGAAGGAAAAAAGCGTGAGCAAAGTTACACAGCAGCAGCCAGAAACTCCAGTGTTTTAATACTCCACAGAGCCTCCTGTTTCACCCCACAAGCAACTTCTAATAAAGAATCTCATTTTTCTTCAAATCTAAAGCATACTGCATATAAAACAAAAAAGCCAAGCAGATCAGAAAAACAAACCAGCAGGGCAGGTCATCTAGGATGACCCCAACAGCTATTTTATAGCACAGTGGGTTGAACAGAAAGAAAAAATACAGCAGCTCTAACTTGAAGCTACTGGAATTAGCTAACAAAAACTGAGATTAATGCATTATGGAGAATAAAGGTTTCTCATTCTCAGAAATAGTGCCGGCAGAGTGCAATGATTAAATGCCAGCTTTTTCCCTCTTCATCTATTTAGTACAATCGTTAAAGTGACAAATGCAGCTCATTTTATCCATACCAAAAAAAATTATTAGGGAAATGTTAAAGAACGCTTGATACTGGAACTGCAAACTTTTGTCCCAAGCAAGACCTATCCCACAAAAACCAGAAGAGGAGGCTCTTAACACTGTAAGGGAGATCACAACCTGACAACACAGCAGAGAGTGCAGAACATACTCTCCAAGTGCCAATTCCCAGTATACAAAGAAACTGATTTCAGTTAAGTCACCAGAACTACACTCAACTGCATCGGATCGATTTTAGTAAAAGAGTCAAAAAAAAAAAAAAAAAAAAAAAAAAGACAGAACAGTCACCCAGTCACTGAGACAAACCCCAAATGACATCAATGGACATACAGAAAAAAATAGCTAGTAAGCCCAGGCCAGGCCAAACATCCTGTTAGACTTCACATTGAACAAGGGCTGGAGAATGCAGAGAGAAAAGCTCCTGATCAGCATTTTATGCTCAGGCAGGCCACTGCAGTGAACACAGCTTTGCTTTGCTCTCTTTGCTTACCAAAGAGTTTGGCATCTTCCACAAATTTCTGTGTTCTCCTCCGGACATTCTCGGAATCTGCCAAAGCTTTCCGGTATCGCTCCTGTAACCGTAAGAGGAGGTATCAGACAAGGAAGGAAAACTCGTGTCCTGTCAAGTTTGCAATCCCTTAGAAACTACTTAAAGAAAAAGAACTTATTTCATGTAAGATGATTGTGCTGGGCTCCTGGGTTCTCCCTAGAACTGGCCAACCCAAGATCCCTTCCTTACTGATTAATCGACACTATTCTAACTCCTCCAAAAAGCCCATGGCCAGAAGCAGAAGGGACACAGCTCAGCTGAGCTGCCTTGTCAGGCTGCTGCTTTCTGCATGACTCACTCTGCAGCTATTGAGATGCTCCTTTCTCTAGCAGGAGAATTGGCAGTCTTAGCAACAGATCTGCAATCAGCTGATTTATCTCTTAGTGCAGGGGATCTCATTACTCCCAGGGCAATTATTTCCAGCACTGTCTATTGCTGTGATATTTAATCTGCTCTTTAGTTAAATCTGTTCTTGAAAGTCCCTATAAAATAATTCCCACCATTTCTACCACACCACTGCAGCTACAATTGATTTTTCTTCTCAATCTATCTGGATCCAGGACGACACACTATGTGATACTAATTAGGACAAAACTGCTGCCATTCTCCTTGCACAGTGATGTGAAAGATTGGACCAGACCATCTCAAGCATAAGTTTTGCCTTCCAGGATCAGACTGCCAGGGTTTTGCCGCTAGGAACTCTGACAGATGGTGTTTCTGGAGAAAACAGAATGTCCTTCTTCCCCAGTGCACCCTCTCACACCCTCTCTCATGTGCCACAGTGCAGTGGTGCTGGGTGCACGTTATAGCACTTGCAGAAGAGGCCTGTGATCAAAGACCAAGTCTCCTATATCAGGAGGACTGAACGACAGACACAGCAGTGCTGCCAGCACAGGCTCCAGAAGCCTACTCACAGTTAAATCACGGACTTGCTCTTCCAATTTGATAGCTTTGTGCTCCAAGGCACGCTCAGAAAGGGGATGCTTCGCCTCATCATGGGGATCATCTGGGCCACACTCATCTCCTGTGCTTCTCTGCTGAGCTGCAGTGCTGAAGACAAATGAGGAACCCCTGAAATGCAACCTAGGGACAAAAAAGAGAAAAAAGAAGTAAATAACAATGGGTCAGAAAGAAGAATTTCATCACTAACAGTAGGACCTCCTTAAATAGGTAGGGAGGGATGATTGCTGGTAAAATTTTAGCTCTTTTCTGTAAAGATGGCCAACTAGCACCAAAGCACAGAAAATAACAATTGCTAGACCGTAGCCAGCTTCCTTGTCCATTGCATAAAGAACAGTTTTAATAAAAAATAAGATAGAGAGAGAGATAAAGACAAACAGATGGAAACAAAAAAGAGAAGAAATTGTCTGGTATATGATCAAGTTTTCTGTTTCTTAGATATTACTGCATGTATTCTGGAGCCTTCTGCCACAATCTTCACAACTCCATGCAGAGAAAAATGGGTGGAATGTGTCAACTGAAAACTGTCGCTAATATATCTCAGCAGTTTTAAACACTTCATCTATTTTTAGCCGTATTGGCAAGGAAAAGCAGCCCTAAAAGCAAAAACAAAATAAGCTCAGACCTCAAGTGCTGAATCCCAGCTTTGTTTCCAACGCCACTTTCATCGAGTGGACTTCTCGGCTAAAAGACACACTTGTCAGTAGTACTGGGAGAGCATGAGGTGGGTGTGCTTCCCACCTCAGGAGACTGACTCTAGAACTTGCAAGTAAAATTACAAAACAACCAAGGAGTCAGATAATTAAGACTGTGGTGTGTGGACACTGCCCAAGTGCCTAGAAACCTTTAGTATCTGCCGAAAAAGCAAGGGCTCCTCTTTTCTCAGGGACACCAGCCTCTTCCTCTTCTGGTTTGTAACCTGGTTTTAGACTGACTTATTTGGTTGGCCAAAGTCCAGCCTAAGTAATTTGCATCTGCCTAAAGACTGTCAAGGGTATCTTATCACTCCCTGCCTAAGCAGTCCAAACGTTTCTCCATTTTCTCTTTAATACAAGGGTGCTGGAGGTCCCATGACGCTAATGGCAAACTTCCTTTTCCCACCTGCAGCACATTTGCACACAATCATTTATTAAGGAGGTGCTTAAAACATGATCTGCTTGGCAAACCACACCTGTTGAACACATTGCACAGCAACTACAAACCAGAGGGTACTTTTGCTCTGAAACAGGATGCTCCTCACACAAATCTTTGCAAGAAAAAAAAGAAAAAAAAATCTGTTTTCCAAAACAGGACCCATGGCTGCAGTGCCAAGTTCCAGGAATGCTCCCCTACTTTTTAATCACTGTTGCAGGGATCTGTTCAGGATACTATATCCCATCCTGAACATTTTTTAAGCTGCCCATCACTGAGGCATTTTATATGCTACCTAAATATAGATTTGCTGGAAATTATCAACACACAATAGCTTAAGCTTTAATAAATGTTGCATAGGGAATCATAAACCTCCACCAGCGTCATCCTGCCAGCATGATACAGTTGTCTAGATTACACTAAGGAGCTGATCTAACGTCAGATGCCAGTCACGAGTTCCTGCACTCCTGAAATAAGTGTTTTCATTTCACTATAACCTTCTGAGGGAAGGGCCATGCTCCTGAGTAACAATTTCAGCAACATGAACTGTAAGGATAAAAGAAGCTCAAGGATTCTGTGCTGCAGTGGAAAGTATCTCAGTAAAAGGCAGATAAGAAGACAGATCATGGCCCCTAATGCTGCCAGGAACATTGCAGAAATGAATTAGTTTCAAGGCAAAAGGGAATACTTCTAACTAGCAGTGGCTCATTATTTTGGAATTCAAAGCAACAAACAGGCGGCTGTTACTCGCAGTTTAACTTTTAAAAATAAATTTGGGCTTGTTGATTTGTTAACATAGTACTTTTCCAAAGGTATAAAAAGGAGATTAAAACGGAGATGAGGAAAGAGAAGGTCTCCCTTCACCAAGACTTCCAAAAAACAAACAAACAAAAAACCCTCAATCAATGAACGATCTGTAAAGTTCCTTTGTTAAAAATAAAAATAAAAATAAAAATAAAAAAATAAAAATAAAAATAAAAATAAAAATAAAAATAAAAATAAAAATAAAAATAAAAATAAAAATAAAAATAAAAATAAAAATAAAAATAAAAATAGAAGTGCATGGTAAGAATTAGCTACTAACTTTGTATTTCTTTATCTCCCATTTCATTAAAAGGGCTGCAGGGATGGATATTAGTCATGCTGCAGATGCAACAAGTTGAAACAGCTGGGAAAGCAGCCCTGCTAGGCACCTCACAGGTTACAGCTCTGCAGTTTTAGAGACCTATAGAAATTAGTTAACTCTTTCACACCTAAGAAGCAGAGTTTTTGTGAGTCATTTCCCGTTGCAAGTGCTTTATGCTACAGAAATGGGAGTGTTTCAGTATGCAGGAGGAGATGGGCATGGATGAACTCGGTGCTGGGGCTACAGGGCCCTGCCTACGTGAAGCAGAGAGCTGCTCCCATGGACTCTGTTTGCAGCGAGTGAAACCAAGTTACAAAGCAAATCGCCATATATTATTATTATTAATAATAATAATAATAATACTACTCAGCTCACGAGTGTCGTTTAAACTAGCCTGCTTTAAATGTTGCTGACAAGAAGCAAAACCCGCAGGCTGACTCCAAAGAGCGCTTAGAGAAAGACTAATTAGGCAGAATTGAAAATGCTGCTCAATTTACCCCTCCTCGACGATGAAAGAAATACTCTGCTAAAAAGGGACAAGTACTATTTGGAGTCTGCCCTCCACATTGTGCTGTAGCTCCTAAACACAGTCTTGGTAACAGCTGTTAAAATACCAAATGCTAAAAATACACAGAAATCCCACCGGAGGAAGTCGAGACATCCCTGAAGTGACAGACATGGGGAAGTCCCAGAGGGTGTGGACAGACTATAAACTGAGCTGGTGATTCAAAGAAATGTATGAACTAATGTCAGAGAAGGGCAAATAAACAGAGGCAGGAGGGAATCTGACTGCAGCCACATGGTTTAAGATAGTTGTCCTTAAAGATGAGAATTTAAGTGTAAGAAAAAAGAGGTCTGTAGTCAGACCCAGAGTATCATCTCTCTTTCCAGAGCACAGGGATGATGCCCCCAAATCCCTAACTCCCTCTTCCATGCACTCTCTGAGCACAAGATCCTATCTCAGCTCCTCCTAAAGCCCTCCCTGCTCCTCCTCCCAATCTACATGACAAACCAGGCAATTGCTGCAATACACAGAACCACCTGCATTAGTGTTTCCGAGCAGCAGGGCTCTGCAAGGGCATCGCCTAATTAGCTCCACTTACTGAGCTCTGCTTCTCTCACTGACGGATGTCAGAGAACACTGTGGATTCACTGGGCCAGTACCAAACAGGGACCTGCTTCGGGAGGGCATCTCAGAGCACGAGGGCTGGGAACGGGCAAGGACTTTAAAGATTAAAGTTACTCTAAAGTAAGAAGTCTCTGAAACACGTGCAGCACCCATGTCTGGTCCTCACAGCTGACTGATCTGCTATAGAAACCTGCTCCTATAGCAATGCAGACACATTATATACACATAACAATTTATTTCACTCTGGGAGTAAGCTTTGGCTTTCATTAAGTAGTTGTATTCAGTCAGATCCATTACACACTCGCTCCCTATTCAGAAAATGTCTACATATTTAGAACTGTCTTGGCAATTACAGATTGTGTGAAAAAATTAGGATTGCAGACACACACCTTTACATCTAGTCCCAAACACACTTGCTTCAACTGGGATTATTTTGTTGCATTCAAATGCTTTGATAGCTTCTTTTGGAGTAATTAGTATGTCTTTTTCATGTCTTTTCAGCTGCTTTCATTGCACTCAAATAACTGAAGAGCCGTCATGTATTTCAATGCTCTTTTATAAACCAACTTGGTCCCAAAATGCCATTGGGGATTTCTATTTGTCTAAATAACGACAAGAACCAGCTGCCCTTCTTTCCTTGACCACGGAAAACACTCACACCACTCCCGCGCTGTCCCATTACATCACTGCCTGGGTTAAATCCCGGGGGCACGTGAGAAAACGGACCCAGCTCCACGACCACCAGAGGCCCAGGGGCTCCCACGGGCAACTACGGGCTCCCTAGGGGTGAGCCACCCGCAGGTCCGAGCACGAGGGGAGGGAAGGGCCGGGCCTGCCCCGCGGCCTGCTCCACAGAAGGACGCCCAGGCGGCGGGGGAGCGTCACCCCCAACCCGCTCCGGTCCCACAGGGACGAACCGCCGCCCGCGCCGGCTCTGCCCGGGCCGCGCGGCCCCCGGGAGGCCGGGGGGCACCTGGAGGCGGCCAAGCCGCGTGCGGAGCCGCCCGCCGCCTCTGCGCGGCCAGGCCCGGCCCGGCGCCATCCGCCTCGCCCCGGCGCGCGCCACGTCCCGCCCGCCGAGGGGAGGCCGGATGGGCGGCGGGAGCCCCTCGCGCTCCCGGCCTCGCCGCCGCCCCACGTACCTGCCGGGCCGCCGCGCGGCCAGCGAGAGCGCGGGCCCGAGGCGCTGCCGCGCCGCCCGCACCGAGCCGCCCGCCATCCTCCCGCCGAGCGCCGCCCGCGAACTACAGCTCCCGGCAGCCCCCGCGGCGCGCCCGCGCACCGTCCAGCGCGGGACTACAGCTCCCGGCAGCCCTCGCGGCGCAGAGTGCGGCTGCGCGGGACGGGGAGGGGGCGGGGCTTAGCCCAGCGGGGTGCGCAGCTCTGGAGGGGGTGCAAAGACCTGGGGAGGGGGGAGTGCAAGGACCGGGGGACGGTGCAAAGACCCGGGGGGTGCATGACCCCCATGGGGGATTGCATGAGCCAGAGGAGGGTGCATAGCCCTGGGGTGGGGGGTGCACCGCCTTGGAGGGATGCATAAACCGGGGGGGAAATTGCACAATGCTGAGGAAGGTGCACAGCCCTGGACGGGGTGCAGAGTGCACGGCCTAGGGGCTTGCACAGCCCAGCAAGGATGCACACATCGGGGGTTGTCAGCTTTGGGTCTTGCACAGCCTGGAGTGCACAGGCTCGGGAGCTATTGCATGGCCTGGGGGTGCAGCCCTGGAGGGATACATGAGCATGGGAAAGGGGATTGCATGGCCTGGAGTATGTTGCACAATCCTAAGGGGATGTTGTGTGGTTCAAGGGGTGCACAGCCCTGCAAGGATACACGACCCATGCAGGTGAGAGGGATATTGCATGGCCTGGGGGTTTGCACAGCCCCGGAGCATGGAGACTGCATGGCTGGGGGTGCTGCAGTTTGGTGGAGAGAAAAGAGGCCCCGTGCAGTGCAGGTGGCTCCGACAGCAAGCGCATGGCTCCCATGGGGTCCCGCATCGCCTCTCCCGCTGGTTGAGAGATGCAGCAATGAGCGGGCCCTGCATGCAGTGTGTCAGGGCAGCGCATTCTTTATTCCTCCATGAACAGCATCAAATATCGTCC